GGGAGAACATGCAAACTCCACACAGAAACACCAACTGACCCAGCAGGGAATCGAACTAGTGGCCTTCTTGCTGCAAGGCCACAGTGCTAACCATTGAGCCACCAAGCCGTGCTCTAGATTTATATTAATTAATAGAAATTATGCAATTTAATATTATTTATTGTTGAAATTTAATGTATAACCTGCAAAACAAGACTGAAATACAGAGAATAATAATCATATCTTCTAAAGTTTTTGTCTTATTTACCACATTTCTCTTAATATAGTTTCATAAATGTTCTTTTATGCAGCTTTTGGGTCTTGTTTAGTATTTTTCACAGCATAAAAAGCCGTCAGAATGGTCTGAAATATTATCAGTGGTGTGGTCGGCTGGTTTTGGAGCTTACGTAAGCAGGTAAATGGAGATCTTCAGTGTTTAATGGAGGGGTTTTGGATGATTTGAGTATAAACAGAAAGCTGGAAGTCTCAGTGTTCGGTGAGTCAGTGTTTGTGGCACAGAAATGAAGAGCTTGAAGAGGAAGAAACACTCTAGAATAAATGAAAGATTGAGATTAGATTATGCTGAAGGTCACGATTAATAAGATGTCATATGATATCTGGCCTGAATAAAGCTTGAGGGAAATTCAGGAGGAAAACTGATGGATTCTGCACCTGTAAAACTGGACACAAATGACTGAAAAATGGCACTGTGGTTGAAACAACAAGAGTATTGACTTCAGGTGAGAATTTGTAGATGGACAGTGAAAAATGCTCATAATCAGTATGTAAACTGACGAGTAGTCAAAGAAAAAAAAATACTTTATTACTTGTCAATTTTAATTTATTTAATTTGTAATTCATTTATAATTTTTAATATATAGTTTATTTATTTATTACTTTTAATTTGATAATTTATTTAATTTATTATTTATAATTTTATAATTTATTTTACAATTTATTTGTTTAATTTATTATTTATTTATTTAATTTATTTTTTTAGTTAATTTATTATGTATTTATTTCATTTATTATGTTTTATTTGATAATTTATCCATTTTATAGCTTATTTAATTTATAATGTATTTTTTTAATTTATAATGTATTTATTTAATTTATTATGTTTTATTTTATAATTTATCTGTTTTTATAATTTATTTAATTTATAATTTATTTGTTTAACTTATTATTTGATTTATAATGCATTTATTTAGTTTATTATGTTTTATTTAATAATTTATTTATTTATTTAAAAATAATGTATTTTATTTGGTGAGTTACAGTTTTCAGTTAGTTTCAAACTAATGTATTAAATTAAATAATTTAATTAAACATATATATTTTTAAATAATTTATCTTGGTTTAATCATACATGAAAATAGGAATTAAAAATGAATATATAGACAACACAACTAATAAAAACCTATAATTATAATAATTTTTAAATTATATAATATAATATATAATATGATATAGTTATTATAATAAATTATAATAACTATAATAATTTATTTAATTTATAATTTATTTAAATACATGATATATAAAACAAGCTTATGTATTTTATTTATTTATTTGATAAAGTACAGTTCATAATTTATTTTAATAATTTATTTAATTTATAAATTATTTAATTTATTATTTATTAACAGTTTTGTAATATATTACATTTATAATTTATTCAATGTAAAATTTATTTATTTATATAATTTATTCAATTGATAATTTATTTAATTAATAATTTACAACATTTTAAAATATTTTTTTAATTTATAATTTATTCAATTTGTAATTTATTTAACTTATAATTTACACTATTTTTAAAATAAATTATTTAATTTATAATTTAATAAATTTTTCCTAGATTTATATAATTTATAATTTATTAAACTTATAGTTTATTTAATTGATATTTTTAAATTTATAATGAATTTATGTTATAATTTATTCAATTTATAAATAATTGATGTTGTAAATTATTTAATTTATAATTCATTTAATTATGAAAAAGAGTGTTTATCTTAGTGTAATCGTACACGAAAACAAGAGTTAAGTTTATAATTTATTCAATTTATAATTTATTTTATTTATAATTTACAATATTTTTTAAATAATTAATTGAATTTATAATTTATTAAATGTTTCCTGAATTTATTTAATTTTTGAATTGTTTAATTTATAGTTTATTTAATAGATTTTTTATTCATAAGTAATTTATTTGATAATTTATTTAATTTCTAAATAATTTATTTGATAATTTATTTAATCTGTAATTAATTTGATTATGAAAAAAATAAAAAAATAAAAAATTAATATAGACATTACACAAGTTAATAAAAAATACATATTGCAAAATTATTAAAACTACCAAAATTTTAACTTGCACATAGTCAATATAACAATTTAAACGTTTAATTAAATTGAAATAAATAAGTAAATTAATTAGTTTATTAATTAGTTAAAATAAAAATTTCAAATCAACTAGAATATAAGTAAAAATGAATAAAAAAAACATATTTTAAAATGTATTTAATTCACATAATAAGTCAATATAAATGACAATAACAACATACACAAAACCTTTAACTAAACTTAAAAACAATCTAAATACCCTTGAATAAAGCTGCATTTATGAGAAGCAAAATGACTAAATAAAAATTAATAAAAATATTTCCAGGAAGCATTAGGATCTGACTTCATTGGCAAATATTTGAAATAAATTTTAATATATTTTCCCAAAACCATAATTTTTAATTTTCACCCGCATGTTCAGTGTATTTATGTGTTGTTTCTCCACCTGAACACATTTAAATATATTTTTGGTAGACGTTGCATAAGTTTTGTCCCGCATCGTCTCATTTTTGGAAAACACTTGCATCAAGATAACAGCATGAGACAACACTTAAAGTCAGTCTGAGTGAGTTTGGCAGGAGGTTTAATGTTATAAAGGCTGCGCATTGTTCTAGATGGACAATAGGAGTGTGTCTAAACTCCACAATGATGCTTTATTCCAGCACAGTAAGGGGAATCCTGTGCAGATAGTGTGTGTGTGTGTGTGTGTGTGTGTGTGTGTGTGTGTGTGTGTGTGTGTGTGTGTGTGTGTGTGTGTGTGTGTGTGTGTGTGTGTCAGTGGAGGTTAATCGTGGTCAGAGTACGTCCGTCCACCTCACATGAGCTCCAGCAAATTAAGCTCTTATTTCAGAAGGGTTTTCCCCAATGTTGTTTTTAATGCTGAATTTGACTTTTATTATAATAAATTTCTTTTTTCATAGTTTATTTAATTAACAATTAATTTATTTTATCATTTATTTAATTTATAATACAGTTAGTTTTTCATTTATTAAATTGATAATTTATTTAATTTTTTATTTATTTATTTTGTAATTTAATCTATTTTATTTATAACTTATTTATTTTATAATTTATTTAATGTAGAATTTATTTAAATATATAATACATACATTAAATGATCATAATAATATATTATTTTATTATTATTTTTATTATTAATATTTTATTATATATTTTTCGTTATAATAATATATAATTATAGTATATAATTTAGTGTTTACGTACAATAAATTAACTGTAATAAAGTGTGTGTGTGTGTGTGTTAGCAGAGGTTAATCATGGTCAGAAAGCGTCCGTCCGTCCACCTCACATGAGCTCCAGGAATGAAGAATTAAGCTGTTATTTCTGAAGGGTTTTCCCCAATGTTGTTTTTAATGCTGAATTTGGCTTTTATCGATGTCTTGCCGTCTGTAAGTGGATTAAACTAAGCATTTAATAAAGAAAGGAAGTTTTCCTGGTTTTACCTCGCTATGCCATCTGGACAATAGAAGATTGGAGAAACGTTGCCTGCTCTGATGAGTCTCCATTTCTGCTGACACATTTGCATGGCCGGGCAGAATTTGGCCTCAACAACATGAAAGAATGGATCCACCCAGCCCCCCCACCAACCCCCCAACAAACCCCACTCTTCAGTTTGCGCGCGTAACCCAAAAATTTGTGTGTGTGTGTGTGTGCATGCATAAATGTGTGTGTATGCATGTGCATGTATTTGTGTAGGTTTTTTACGTGTGTGTGTGTGTGTGTGTGTGTGTGTGTAGGGATCTTATGTGTGTGTGTGTATGCGTGTGTGTGTGTGTGTGCATGTGTTTTTGTAGGTATGGGTATGTTTATTGTGTGTGTGTGTGTGTGTTTGTGTAGGTTTCCTATGTGTGTGTGTGTGATTGTGTAGGTATCTTGTGTGTGTGTTTGTGTAGGGATCTTATATGTGTGTGTGTGTATGCGCGTGTGTGTGTGTGTGCATGTGGTTTTGTAGGTATGGGTATGTTTATTGTGTGTGTGTGTGTGTGTGTGTGTGTGCATGTGTGTGTGTTTATGTAGGTTTCCTATGTGTGTGTGATTGTGTAGGTATCGTATATGTATGTTTGCGTGCGTGTTTGTGCATGTGTTTGTGTAGGTATTGGTGGGTTTATTGTGGGTGTGTGTGTGTATGTGCATGCATGTGTGTGTTTATGTAGGCTTCTTGTGTGTGTGTGTGTGTTTGTTTAGGTTTCTTACATTATTACGTGTGTGTGTGTGTGTGTGTACGTGCATGCATGTATGAGTGTGTTTGTGTAGGTTTATTATGTGTGTGTGTGTGTGTGTGTGCGTGTGTGTGTGTGTGTGCGCGCGTGTGTGTTTGGTTTTGGTCTTTCTCTTTGTAGGTTTTTTTGCCTGTGTATATGAGTGACAGAGAGTGTGTGTATGTCTCTGTGAACGTTTCTTCCATATGTGTGTGTGTGTGTAATGGTGTACTGTCCCTTTAAATGTTTTGCTCAAGGCGGGCTTTGAACCTGCAACCCTCCTTTGGTTTGTGTCCCAGATCTGTG